TTTTTATTTTTTTAAACTTATTTCTGATTCTTTTTTGTATTCATTAAGATCAAAGCTTAAGGTGTAAACTAGTTTTTTGCTTTTTATTTTAGAAAATGCACATTTTAAAGCACATGTTTCCTTTTAAGCACATCAGCTGGTCCCACAAATTATGTCATATTTATCTTCAATCCAAACTATTCTCTAATTTTTTATGGTTACTTTCCTAAACCACATGATTTTAATATTATTGACTTCAAATTTAATTCCAGTGTGATTCCAAAGCACAATCTATGATTTAAAAAACAAAGCTTAGCATATCTAGCAATCATGAAAATGAAACAAACTGCCCAATCAACTTCAATACAGGGCAAAGCTATTCCAGAACTTCCAAAATCTGCTCTCTTAGCAAGTGTCAAGGATACATAAGATGATACAACAGTAAAATTTTATTAAATACATCAGCCAATAAACAAACAAGATAGGAAGTCCTGAACAACTCTGTACTGCTAGGAGTTTAATTTTGGACACGCACATCAAAGTGAAGCAGTTAGTGGAAGAAGACGGCTGTCAGCTGATGTGCTGGCGCAGCTGGACCTCCATGTGCAGAGCTAAGGACAGAGAACCAGCTCCTACCGTTTAAAAATGCAAGGATTAATATGAAAGGTGATAATTAAATGTAAGATAAAAAAGCTTCCAGCAATGTAAGAAAACATCTTCGTGTGTTAAAAATAAGCAAATATTTCTTAAAAGATGAAAGCAATAACAATTCTTAATTTGATAAACTGCATCTAATCAAAAGGAAACTTTAAAAAAATTTTAAAAAAGAAAACAAATATCTTTTTTCATTTTACATACCAATCCCAGTTCCTACTCCCTCTCCTCCTCCCATTCCTTCCACATACCCCGCCCCATCCCACTTCCCATCCACTCCTCAGAGAGGGTAAGGCACATTGCTTTGGGGAAGGATCAAGGCCCTCCCCACTGTATCTAGGATGAGCAAGGTATCTCTCCAAAGAGAATGGGTTCCAAAAAGCCAGTACAAGCAGTAGGGATAAATGCTGGTCCCACTGCCAGTGACTCCACAGTCTGCCCCAGCCATACAACTGTCACCCACATTCAGAAGGACTAGTTTGGGTCCTGTGCTTGTTCCTTCCCTGTCCAGCTGGAGTCAGTGAGCTCCCATCAGCTCAGAAAAGCTGTGTCAGTGGGTATCCCTGTCATGGCCTTGACCTCTTTGCTCATAGTCTCACTCCTCCCACTCTTCAACTGGACTTTGGGAGCTCAGTCGAGTGCTCCAATATGGGTCTGTTTTCATCACTTGCTGGATGAAGGTTCTATGATGATATTTAAGACATTCATCAGTTTGACTATAGGGCAAAGCCAGTTTGGACACCCTCTCCTTTATTGCTTAGGGTCTTAATTGGGGTCATCCTTGTGGATTCCTGGGAATTTATCTAGTGCCAGGTTTCTTGCTAGCCCCATAAAGGCTCCCTCAAGCAAAATATCTCAAAAGGAAACTTTGATGCTTACAAAAATTCAACTAGGTTAAGGGCAGCCTGAGAGATAACAGTCACATACACACACATGCACAACAATATACTCATAATTAACTCTTACAACTCAATTAACAAAAGGCAACATCCCATACAGAAAAGGTAGAAAGAATAAAGGGATACAACTAAATATCAGTGATAGAATCTACGTGGAAATATCCAGGCTATTCATTGCATCTGCAGCAAAGAAAACAATTGAGTGTTTTGTACAGAAACAACTGCAAACAAACAAAAATGTCTTTTCAAACTAAACGTGCTGGTGAATTCTAAGACTGGCCTGGCCTTGGCCCGAATTCTCGGCAGACCCAATAGAGGGCTCCCAAGAGAAGCCTCCATCAGCCTAAAACATCCTGGGCTGACTCAGATGTGGGTCCTCTTGGTACAGATGTGTTACATTTCAAGACTCCATTCGCAGTAGACCTGTGTATGGATTTCTTCTGGGATGAACAAATTTTAGGAGTTTAATGTTTCTCTCTGTATTTGAAGATCCACAGTAATTATTTTTATATTTACTTATTTTTACTGAATCAAGTTCAACAAGGAAGAATTTTCCTAAAGCACTGTTTTTCTACACATAAAAGTTCTGAAACAACCTTGGGGCTTGCTAAGAAATTTAATCAGCAAGAAATTCTTCATTCTTAGTAAACCGATGTCCACCTGATAAGATTCTCGGCAAATTTACTCTAGTCACATAACAACAGTATGCTAGCTGGAAGAAAGATTAATAATAAAATAATTTACAAACAAAGACAGTATTCATAGTAGTTCTTCAGAAAATGAAGTTGCATTTGATATAAACCTAGTACTTACCCAGGTTTCCTGAACCACACAATTCCATCTGGCAATAGCTTTTTCTTCTTCAAAGTTGCTTTCTACTGCTTGGGGAACTAAATTTTCAGCATCAATAAAAAAGAAATCTGCCATGCTCCACTGCACATCAGAGTAACTGATGTAAAAAGAGTTATCATTAAAAATTGGAAACTATCTCTGTAATTAAATGGTTATGAGAAAACCTCATATTGCTCAGAGGCTAAAACAGTTTAACCAAAATAAAGGAAAACACTAACTAATTTTTTAAACTGTCAGAATGGTTTGGATTTGGCCTGAATCATAGAGGAAATCTAGCCAAAACAATTTACCCAGTGGAAACTTAAAACAAAATACATAATTATTAATACGTATCATACTCCAACACAGCAGCTCAGAAGAAAAGGTTAGTATTGATGAGCACTTCTGAGGATTGTGCACACACCTCCAAAGCAGATTTTAGGTCTGGAAAACAACACAGACCACAAGTAACAGCATTAAGATTAAAAGCAAATAAACTAGCAGCAAAAACCAGATAAGCACTCTCTAAGAGCTAAGAGAACAGAGATTTTTGTTTATATAACACCCAGAAAACACTCACCTACTATAATTTTAATAGCCCTGAGTGACTGAACATTAACTAGGTCTATCTGATAAAATGTACTTTGTACACACCATAGACAATAAAATATTAAAACAAAATCAAAGAGGTTGAATACCTCTTTCTAACTGAAAAGAATAAAAACAATTTTAAATCCCACTAAGGGAAAACCACACCCAAATAGTGTACAGTAAAGGAAAAGACTTACCCTTCTTACATTTTATGAAATTATTACAATCTAATGTCAAACTCAGACAGATTCAGTATTAGAGAGAACTTATAGATCTCATTCATGATAATAAATTTTAAATAACCAAATGAAATATTTCTAGGTTGAATATAAATGAAAATTTGTTTTCCAGCACATGAAAATTTTAATACTAAAGAAAATCTATTAGCTCACTAAAGACTAAAGAAAAAAAATATACGATCATTTCCAAAATACACAGAGTATTAAGCATTCAATAAAATCCAGCAATTTCTGATTAAAAAAAAAAGTCAGTAAGGCAAAAACAGAAGGGAATCTCCAACCCTTTAGACAGTCCACAAGAGACCTATGGTCGTGCTCAAGGGCAAAGTGTTACTATTCTCTGTAAAATGATTACTATGCAGATGTCTGTGTCCTCCCTTTCAACACTAGCTGGAGGTTTGGGCTGGTGTGTCTTCATAAAAAGTCTCTAAGGAATCCATGTGCTTTTGAACTAAGAATTGTCCAAGAATAGCCAACGAACCGCTTAACAAAGCTCAACAGCAGAGGAAACGGCTGGGAGGCTTCACCCACTCAAACATTAAAATATAAATTGATAAGTCTGTCGATGTGACAGCAGAGTGAAGAATTCAGAAAAGGACCTACACGTTCAAGGAAGCCTGAACATACTGGCATACTGCACGGATAAACTGCAGATCAACAGGAAGAGGATGCATAATGGCCCAGGAAACGTGTAGACACTGGAAACTTAAAAGCCTAAATATACTACCATTTGCAACATTCTAAATAATTTAGAATTAATTAATAAATAATAAATGTGACAATGAAAATATTTAAGTTTAAAAATAAAATATATGGGAATACATTAATAATCTCAGAGTTAGAAAAAATTTCTTGAGAAAGCACATATTAAGAATAATTAAACATGAAGAATTTACATATTAATATTAAGCAGTCGAGGTCACCAAAACACACCACGAACAAGTTGAAATAACAAGTCCCAAACCAACAAAAATATTTCCAACATGCATACCTAACAAATAATGTCCAGAATAGTGTGTACAGGGTGCTCATAATCAATTAGCAAAAGACAGCCAAAGTCGGGCAGCCCTTCTTGCAGCTCTGAGTGCTAAGAAGGACTGACAACTGAAGGCCTGCCTCGACTCCAGAGTGAGTTCAAGGACCCACTGGAAAACAGGGCCACACGATCTAAACGACGAAAACTAGAAGAAAAGAAGGGTTAGAGATACCGCTCAGTGATAGAGCGTGTGGCCAGCACATGCAACCCCAGTTCAAAGCTCAGGAGGAGGGGAGAGGACACACAGAACAACAGCTAAGAGAAAAGCCCCAAAGCATAAGGCGATACTCAAGTACTGTCAGGGCCAAACATGGGCAACAGGTTCTTGTGCCCTGTTAAATGAAAGCGTTTCTAAAACCCAACACAGATATACTGTGGCCTAGAGACTACAGGCACACACACGCACACACAAAGACTTGCATGAGAATGTACTAAAATCTTACAAATTAAGTCTGAAACATGTGATTAAAAGAAACAATTTCTAAGCTCACATTGGTAGCACAGTACCTACCTGTAATCTCAGCCTTTGGTAGGGTGAGGCAGGAGGACTGCCATAGATTTAAGGCTAGCCAGGGCTACAAAGCAAGACCCAGTCTCAATAAATAAGAAACAAAGCAAAAGCAGAAAACTTCTAAAATTAATCTCTATGTGAGCCATCAATATTTTTCACAGACTTTTTATCGTTTAGTTACTAAATTCACTAATAAATATTTATTGTCCTCTTGGAACTGAGATGAGACACCACACAGATGGGTTTTGGACGAAGTGAAATGGTTTTGGGTTTGTTTATTTTGTTAATACTGACAAGCGTATGCACTTTAGATCACAAAAGATTATATCAAGTATTTACAAAATAAAACTCTTTTCTGGAGATAACTTCTATTTAAGAAGGATTAAAAGAGCATAAAACTTTATCCTTATCATCCGTGAATGAAGTAACTTGTGTTTTAATAACTTAATCAGAAACCACAAAGAAGGAAACAGTCTTATTAAAAGAGCCTGGTGTCCTGTGGTCCTTCCTTAATAACAACCCACTTTCAAGAGCCTATAATCTATTCAATAGAAAGCCTTCTATCAAAGACTTTAATCAGATTCTGAGAAAACTCACACACAAAATAAACAACAGGGCACTAAAACCCAAGCGATCAGACACTAGCGGCTTTACAAGAGGCTAGGCCCTCCGTGATGAGTCACTTCTAGAGAATGAAAAGATAAGCCCTTCAAGTGTTTTCTATTCAGGCAGAAAACATATAAAGGTAGGGAATCATTCAGCCACTGTCAGAGTGCGAAAGTTTTCATTTTCCACATTCTTGCTACGCTTTATGCAAGCATCAAACTAAGGATGGCAAAAATGAGTCTCTCTTCCTACATGTTAATGCTGGTTGTTTCTTTGTTTTCTCAAGGTATTTTACTTTCAGCTTCCAAGTCCATAAGAAATTTAGAAGACGACATGGTATTTAACACGTTTAGGATGGGGAAAGCCTTCCAGAAGGAAGACACCGCAGAAAGATCGGTTGTGGCTCCCTCTCTGGAACAATATAAAAACGATGACAGCGGCTTCCTGGGCGACGACGAGAACAAGAATTCCAAGGTAAGTACACGCAGCCTGATTATTACAACAGGAAGGAAAATGACTGTTATATTATAAACCACCCAGAAGTAAACTTGGTGTTTTCATTTTATAATTGGGAATACTGCCACTACAGTCACAGTACGCGTCCAGACAACTAGTACAATTTCACACGTACCCATCTTACTTCCCCATCTTATCCAAAAGCTTTGCTTCTTGTATCTAAGATATTTTAGAAGTGAAAAACAGTGTAGAGCACCTTAGAATTGATCAGCAAGCATGCTGGGCAACTGTATTTTAGCTTGTCTGTGCTGAAGACGAGAGCTGGAACACAAACCAACCTTCTCTTTACAGAACACAGGCTCCAAACAGAATCTCCTAAGTCATGGTCTGCCACTGAATCTGGCTATAAAACCTTATCTCGCTCTGAAAGGATCAGTAGCTTTTCCAGCTGAGAATGGAGTTCAGAATTCTGAGTCAACACAAGAAAAGAGAGAAATTGGGGATGAAGAAAACTCAGCTAAGTTTCCCATAGGAAGGCGAGATTTTGACAGTGAGTAGCTTTGAAAACTTCAATTCCTACATCTTAATTCTCTAAAAAGCAGTCTGAGCTTAACTGACTACGTCAGTGTGTAGTAAGAACACGGGTTCAGTTCTACCAGACAGCAGGTGACCCTGTCAAAATGGGAAATTCCTAAAACTCAGTAATTGTGGTTTGATTTATTCAGAATTTATTAAAACAGGTCCATAACTTTCCTTGATTCTGTGTGGTAACTGCGTTGTCATCTGTTCCCTCTCAGTGCTCAGGTGTATGCTGGGGAGAGTCTACCGACCCTGCTGGCAAGTCTGAGTCCTGCTGGTCCACACCGTCCTTCCAGAAGAACGCAATTCATTGCAAGGGGAGAGAAAAGCCCTTGGTGTTGATATGACTTGTGTATTATCCTAAATGTCTGTTTGAAAATAGTTAAGACGTAATGACCTACATGATATGCTTTGACTTGTGCATTAAACTTTATGAAATTCCTGCATAATCCTGACTTACTGGTATTTTTGAACAGTGGTTAACATGTGTGCCTCTCATCCATCTATCAAAATAATAAAGCATCAGAATTTACATCATGATATTTAAAAGTTAGCTCATGGCTTTGGTGAATGGTCTTCTATACATAAATCTAAAGCACACAGATGACAAAATCATAGCCTAAAAAACTGAGTTAACTTGGTCTGGCCAGGAATCAATTTGACCCTGGCAGTACACCTATTGCCTTTCGTTCCGCGGGCTGGTTTGCCACCAGCTTTACTGTGTGAGTCACTGGGTACTTTAGGGAACTTAACAAGTTTATCTTGGTGCGGTTCATTTCCGTTATCACAGGGGACACTGTCGCTGTCTAGATCCACCTGCTTCCTTTTGGGTATTTTCTTTTCTGTAGGTTTTCTAGGTATTTTGTTGTCTTTACTTCTGTCTCGATGCACACCTTCAGAACTTGTTTCAATTCTTTCTCTTCCAACAGAAGAAAGGGTACCTTAAAATGACAAGGGGAAAGGAATTGTATAATACTTAGTATTACAAATCATGAGGCATATAAAATAATCATTAAAATGACTAGAGCATCTAAAGACATTTATAATATAATAATCCCACCCAATCAAATGTCAAGAAATAACTATATCGTCTTTTTACTATGCCACATCTCACCCCAAACAATGAATATCTATGTAAAAATACAACAGGTAAATACTATGAATTATTTTTTAAATCCACTTAGCTAGTTAAATCATATCCTATTCCTATCCATAAATTTGTACTTAGATTCAATTTTTTACACAAATACAGGCTTTAAAAACAAGTCTTTACATTTCCTAGTATTTGTAAAACTAATTGGTTGACTAATTATTCAAACAAGGTTAATTACCAGAAGCATCACTTTCCAGGTGAAGAGCATGAGACGGCTTTGATGATAAATCACCATTCCATCTGTTCTTGCTCACCGCACACTCATCTTTATAAGTACAAGCAAACTGTGATCTAATTAAGGTCTGCCTCATCTGGTAACACAAAGAAAAAATATGCAATTATATTTTGTCTTATTTTCCATTTAGTTAGAGACATGCTCCCTAGTAATTGAAACATACTATGAAGGCAGTTCTTACAAACAACAACACTCACTGGGAACGTCTATCCAGATTTTTTACAGTTTTGGAACTCACTTGTTACTATGGTTAGTTTCTTAGTTCTTGTTAGCAATATCTAGCTTTGTCCATATGTTTTATATTTTTATAACAGTTATAAAATTCAATTTTATATTCTAGAGGTCTTATAATACATTCCTTTGGGCTGCTTTGCAGTGAATGTTATGATAACTGAATACACACACACAATCATAAAAAATGGGAGGTCTATACTGTATTAAAAAAAAAAACTCCAAAAGAAAAGTAGTACATGCGACTAAAGACCTTGGTGGAAAGAGAAAGACTAAAGCAAAAATGGGAATGGAGACGTTAAAAGAAACGGAAATAGCAAATGTTTAGCAAGGGGAGCACAAACAACATGGAAAGACATTATTTCTTAGTTAAATCAAATATTTGGGGAAACCAGAAAGAGTTTTTAACTGTATCATTCTAGAAAGACTTAACAAAGAGTTTTAATGGTGAAAATTCCACAATATACACTTGCATTAAGCCTCAGAGATAAGAAATCAAAGCCCGGCTTTCTCATAAATGAAGACAAGTTATCAGACAGATAAAGTTAATAATGAGAGGGTATGGCGATAGCCCGCTGTAGTCCTAACACTCTAACAGACTAACGCAGGAGGCTCGGAAGCTGAAGGTCAGCCTGGGTTACATAAGTACGGAGACACTGGAGGGCGAGGCGGGGAAGGGAGAAGGAAAGTCAATCTATGAACTAGGACAGGAAAACACAGTTTGGAAGTGCATTCTGCAATGAGACTGCTGAGCTATCCCAGGCGCAGGAGTCCATTCCAGTATTCCTGTATCTAGTCTATACATAAAGTGTTGATACATCATCAATCACACTTAGTCCATAACCATTGATGGTGATGCGGAGAATTCTCCAAACCATTAGAAGCCACCTCATATCCTTTCAACACTTCAAATTATATTTATATTATGCTGGATATTACTAAGAGTGTTTACTGATTAAAATGTAATTATATATTATACTTAGTAATTACATTTTATGTTATATAATCAGGGACTAGTGTTCTAATTCACTCAGATGTTTGCAAAGATGATAGCAATAAAATCACTGACCGTAGCTTGAAAGATACAAGAATGGTCACCTTTCCAGCTGCTTC